AATAAATTCATGGAAAAAAAAATATTCAGAATCAGAATTGAACACTACTATAAATACTGTCAAACAAAAGGAACGAAAAGAACTTTTAACATACAAAAACAAAGAAAACAATGAACCAATAGTACTCCCAGTTATTTTTAATTTCAATAATAAAAGTAAAGATGTTAAACGAATAATAAGAAAACACTGGCATATACTCAAACATGATGAGATACTTAGCTCTATTATACCTGTTCATCCAAATATTGTTTTTAGAGGAGCACCCAATTTCAAATCTATTCTAACTACTAATTTTACTAAAAAATCTCCTCCCAAAAATCTGTCTTTTTTTTCCCCAGACAAAGGGTTTTTATAGATGTAAACAATGTATTGTATGCAAAACCACTGATCATTTTATTTCATCAAAAGTCTCAAGTTTTATGTCTAATCAGACAAAAAAAGTGTACAATATTTATGATTTTATATGCTGCAATACGAAAAATGTTATTTATCTGCTTGAGTGCCCATGTGGCCTCCAATATGTGGGGATGACCACAAGGTGCTTAAAGATAAGGCTAAGCGAACATTGCAGAAATATTAAAAATGGATACTTAAATCATACAGTATCCAAACATTTTATTATGCACAATAAGGACCCACGCCTATTAAAATGCATGGGTATAAAAAAATGCTTTACCTCTTGGCGTGGAGGTGACATAAAAAAACTGCTTGGAAAAACCGAGATGGAATGGGTGTATAAACTTCAGACTCTTATACCCCATGGTCTTAATGCTGACTTTGATCTACACAATTTTTTATGACTTTTATGTTAAATAATATTTGTATTATTTATTGCTGTCTATAATATGAATGGCTTATATATTCTTTTTATGTATACAATCCCTTTTTATACATCTATTTTTATTGTATTAATGTTGCCAGTATTTTACAAATTAAGTTCTTATTCTGTATATCTTTATTTTAATTTGCAATGGTGAAACTTCCATACTTCATTTTTTATTTATTTATTTTTAAAGATAACTACATTTCCTAGGTTGCACTTGGGCAAAAACCTCCATTTTGAGGAAGTAATGTATTAGTTATGTGCCCCCCTGCCTACCTGTTTTATTTATAACTTAAAATCTATGCTCTACAATGAAAATGCCTCCAAGGCACTAAATCTCCTTAGGTTATGTATGATTATCGTTTTTTTTATTTCTGTATGCGGCCGCCGGTCGCGGCTAACTTTTAACTACATTTCCCATAAGGCATTGTGGCGAAAACTTCCGAAATGCGGAAGTGCCGTATGTCACGTGATCGTTTTAAAATGTTCTAAATTATACTTTCCAACCCTCGTTTTTGATTTCTAACCATTAGAAACAAGTTATATTACTATAAATTGTATACTGACTAAGTTTTGAACATATTTTAAGTTTTAAATGTGATTTTGTTTCTGATTGGACGGACCAATTTTTGGCGCCAAATTCAAATGAGTTATGTTCCTATATAACACCTACAAGCCAGGTATCATCTGTTATTCCATTTGATAAAGTCTTAGACGAAACGCGTTATGGATATTTAATTATTGTGTTTGTAAATATATTAAAGTATTTTTTGGTCATTTGTTTGTGCCAATAATCCTTTTTTTATAGACACATAATACTCTTTTTACCCTGGCTTTTTAATTATTATTTTTATTGGTTTTTAAAAAAAACTGAAAACCCCTGGAAGTTTCCTGCATTTAAAGAAATCCAAGGTGGGGATCAATCCACCCAAGCTGTCATCACGGAGCAGTTGGTCTGCTCTGGTTTTGTAAGTACATTCTTTTATTATTTTATCAATATTGCTATACAGTGAGCACTATTGGCTGTCTCTTTTATTTCGAGAAACTGGACACGTATCACAGAGAGGAACCCATCTATATCCCATAAGCGGGGATCAAACCGCCGTATGCGCTTTATTCCAGAGCTAGGACATTAGCTCTGATAAATGTGAGTTTTATATTATTATTTCTACACATCCATATTAGAACTCTACATACTACACTATTGGTTGTCCCCCTCTCTCTTTTTATCTTTCATATAAGTGGACTCACTACAAAGTAGAAGACGTCAACAACAAAGACTATCTGTAAGGACAATAATATTGGACTTTTCCTTCTTTCCAATTGGACTCTATTTTATTTAAAAATAACTTTTTTATTTTATTTTTTTCCAATTTTATCTGAGTGCGCAGCCTTTTTTCTTCTTTTTCATATATAGGCAGATACATTAACGAAATTGGTTTACCCCCAGGTGAGATGCATCCCAGATCGGCGTTCTAGTGTGGCCAGTGCACATGCGCGATGAAGCTCCGCTCCCATGTGACATCGTGGCGTGCCGTCGTCGCGTCCGTTGCCATAGCGGCGTGGCACACACAGCGTCACTATGAAAATAGAGCAACAACAACATGAGTAAACTACAGTTGCAAGAAAAAGTATGTGAACCCTTTGGAATTATATGGATTTCTGCACAAATTGGTCATAAATGTGATCTGATCATCATCTAAGTCACAACAATAGACAATCACAGTCAGCTTAAACTAATAACACACAAAAATGAAATGTTGCCATGTTTTTATTGAACACACCATGTAAACATTCACAGTGCAGGTGGAAAAAGTATGTGAACCCCTAGACTAATGACATCTCAAAGAGCTAATTGGAGTGAGATGTCAGCCAACTGGAGTCCAATCAATGAGATGAGATTGGAGGTGTTGGTTACAGCTGCCCTGCTCTATAAAAAATACACACCAGTTCTGGGTTTGCTTTTCACAAGAAGCATTGCCTGATGTGAATGATGCCTCGCACAAAAGAGCTCTTAGAAGACCTACGATTAAGAATTGTTGACTTGCATAAAGCTGGAGGAGTTATAAAAGTATCTCCAAAAGCCTTGCTGTTCATCAGTCCATGGTAAGACAAATTGTCTATAAATGGAGAAAGCACTGCTGCTACTCTCCCTAGGAGTGGTCATCCTGTAAAGATGACTGCAAGAGCAAAGCATAGACTGCTCAATGAGGTGAAGAAGAATCCTAGAGTGTCAGCTAAAGACTTACAAAAGTCACTGGCAAATGCTAACATCCCTATTAGCGAATCTACAATACGTAAAACACTAAACAAGAATGGATTTCATGGGAGGATACCACAGAGGAAGCCACTGCTGTCCAAACAAAACATTGCTGCACGTTTACAGTTTGCACAAGAGCACCTGGATGTTCCACAGCAGTACTGTCAAAATATTCTGTGGACAGATGAAACCAAAGTTGAGTTGTTTGGAAGAAACACACAACACTATGTGTGGCGAAAAAAAGGCACAGCACACCAACATCAAAACCTCATCCCAACTGTGAAGTATGGTGGTGGGGGCATCATGGTTTGGGGCTGCTTTGCTGCATCAGGGCCTGGACGGATTGCTATCATCGAAGGAAAAATGAATTCCCAAGTTTATCAAGACATTTTGCAGGAGAACTTAAGGCCATCTGTCTACCAGCTGAAGCTCAACAGAAGATGGGTGTTGCAACAGGACAATGACCCAAAGCATAGAAGTAAATCAACAACAGAATGGCTTAAACAGAAGAAAATACGCCTTCTGAAGTGGCCCAGTCAGAGTCCTGACCTCAACCCGATTGAGATGCTGTGGCATGACCTCAAGAAAGCGATTCACACCAGACATCCCAAGAATATTGCTGAACTGAAACAGTTCTGTAAAGAGGAATGGTCAAGAATTACTCCTGACCGTTGTGCACGTCTGATATGCAACTACAGGAAATGTTTGGATGAAGTTATTGCTGCCAAAGGAGGTTCAACCAGTTATTAAATCCAAGGTTCACATACTTTTTCCACCTGCACTGTGAATGTTTACATGGTGTGTTCAATAAAAACATGGCAACATTTCATTCTTTGTGTGTTATTAGTTTAAGCAGACTGTGATTGTCTATTGTTGTGACTTAGATGATGATCAGATCACATTTTATGACCAATTTGTTCAGAAATCCATATCATTCCAAAGGGTTCACATACTTTTTCTTGCAACTGTATATATAGATATATATAGTTGCAAGAAAAAGTATGTGAACCCTTTGGAATGATATGGATTTCTGAACAAATTAGTCATATATGTGTATATATATATTGTAACAAACCACCTCTTTTATAGGTGTCACAGATCTTGCAGTAACCATAGCCTTCTAGGGTATACAAAGTCCAGGACACATTCAGCTCGGTTTTCCTTTTTATTCAGTAAGAAAACAGGTGCTTTAAATAATAACAAAACAAACAAAATCCCTTGCTCTTACTTGAGCTCTTACTAGACAGGAATTGCTATCTGCAATTGGGTGGCTTTCCCACTTACCAATTTTCCAAACAAAAGAAATGTCTTTGCAATAATCACAATTGTCATTCACTCTCCTAGCTGTCTTTTCCTCCCTCACTCTGCAGCAGGCTGCCCTCTTCTTTTAAAGGCCTGTCTACTAATTGACTGGCTACAGGTGAGTGCCAATTAACTAACTCGTAAGTCAGATCCAAATAGTGGTCTGTTACACAGCAACTAATGCTGTTGGAGCATTGGCCCACCCTGCTCTCCAAATACTCCGCCCCAGGGACCCATACCATGTTTTGCAGAACCTCAGCAATGTAGATTGCAAACTCTAACATCTCTCCCTGGGGCATTTAACTGAAAATTCTCAGGTTGCTGTTTAACAAATCAGGCCTGATGTATCTTCCATCACAATTCCACTTTTACGCTCTATATATATATATATATATATATATATATATATATATAGTTATCTATGATTCATAACTTATTCTGAATTATATTAACGTAAAAATGCTTTTGTAAAATTCCCCTGTGCTTGAAATGTTTACTATGTCAATATTACACTGCTATCCTATGTTTAATTTGATATCAGGTTATCTCGATGACTGATATCAGGTGATCTTGATCACTGATAACATTTTATCAGCCATGTCAGTACATCTTTTAGTCAGCTTTTCCATATATATTACCATAAGCATCAGCATTTAAGTTGGTAATTAATTAACTGTGGAATATCACTGAAATAATGACATAATTTTTTTTTTTCCTATATAACGACTGAATTTAACAGTAAATCAAAGTAGTGAACTGTACCTGGTTGCCTGCATACGGTGACAATTTACTTCCCAAGACCTTGTCCTGACTTGCCTTTCCATATCCTATATCTCTCCTAAAGATCATCAGCGGTCCTGGAAGAGTGGGCCTGAGTGTTTCTCAATCCTCAACAATTTTGTGTGTGTGTGTGTCTGTTAGTGAGTGTGTGTGTGTCTGTTAGTGAGTGTGTGTTTGTCTGTTAGTGAGTGTGTTTGCCTGTTAGTGTGTGTGAGTGTGTATCTGTTAGTGAGTGTGTGTGTTTGTCTGTTAGTGAGTGAGTTTGTGTCTGTTAGTGTGTGTCTGTGTGTGTCTGTTAGTGAGTGTGTGTCTGTTAGTGAGTGTGAGTGTGGTTGTCTGTTAGTGTGTGTGTGTTTCTGTTAGCGAGTGTGTGTTTCTGTTAGCTAGTGTATGCGTATCTGTCAGTGAGTGTGTGTGTGTGTGTGTATTTAGAAGGCGGGCAGTGGGGAAGGGTTGGGTGGGGGTGCCTGAGTTTTGTCCTGCTTAGGGCTGCACAAAACCAGGATACACCACTGCCCACCACTGCACCTCAGTTTATGCAAATAGCTGATGGCAGCCTTCCAAAGTCTGGTCAAGTGGTAAAAGACTATCCCCCTAAAAGTCTCATCTGGAAAAGTGCATACTAAAACACTATGTTTTGATTTGGCTCCCTCTCCATTGTTTCCTATGATCCTAGGATTACCCTGGCCTCGCCACCTTGACCCTGTAATCAAGTGGGGGTCTGCTACTGAGTCCTTCTCATGTGATCATTGCTGGAAATGTTTTTTTTTTCTTACCAGTAGAGACTCCTTAAGTTCCTTTGATGCAATTCCTGAAATCTATATGCAACAGGATATGGAAATCATTCTATCAAAAGTTTCTAAAACATGCAAAGATTTGTCTAATAAAGAAATGATAGTGGGATTTCCTCCAAAATGTATCCATGATTGCCCAATTGATTTATTCCCTAATGCATATGTTCCCCACAGCCCAGAAAAATGCTTATGTGAACCCAGTGTCAAAGTTCACAACCCTGCTTTGGTGAGGACTTCCCATGAATTACCAAGTCCAACCTTTGGGCACATCCGAGGTCTGCACCTTAAAGGGTGATTATGTCACGGCACACCGGGAGAAGCTTGTGTATTGTGCCACTCACCACACGCCACATGGGTTTTGTTGTCCTGGGAGTGGGGGACTTGCCAAGCCTTCCTTCCAGCCGCCAACTATACAGCAGCACTTCAGCAGCATGCCATGCGTGTAAGGTGCACCGCAGTCTTCTCGCCTGCTGGCCCCTGCTGCCACTCCATGTGGGTTGTGACATGCAGTGGAACACCCTATCTACTGTTATGCCCACCTCTCCTCCTGTGGGAATCAGGCCCGGACTACCCATCGGGCATACCGGGCAAATGCCCGGTGGGCCGCGATGGCCGTGGGGCCGAGGCCGGCAGGGGATCTCCCCGGCCGGCCCCTGCAGGGCCAGCGCTATCCGAGCGCCGGCCCTGCATAGTGCCTCCATGGGCCGGTGGGGAGATCAAAGATCTCCCTCACCGGCCCAGAGGCAGGGAGATGCGGCCGCCAGCAGGAGAGGGAGTGAGGCAGGAGAGAGGACCGGCGGAGCTCTAACCAGCAGCTCCGCCGGGTCCTCTTGCGGGATTCTGAGCGTTGCCGCGGTTACCACGGCAATGCTCAGATCTCGCGTGAGTGAACTCTAGCCTGCAGGTTAGAGTTCACTCTCACCACTGGACCACAAGGGAAGGCAGCATGGTCACCCTCCTCCATGGATACCCGGCTCCCCACCCCCTCCCAAGGTAAGAAGGGAGAAGGGGATATAACTTTTTTTTATTTTCTATATATATATATATATATATATAAAAAAATATTTAAATTTAAATAAACACTCACACACACAGCACCCAGACACACACAGCACCCAGACACACACAGCACCCCCAGGCACACACAGCACCCCCAGGCACACACAGCACCCCCAGGCACACACAGCACCCCCAGGCACACACAGCACCCTCAGACACACGCAGCACCCTCAGACACACGCAGCACCGTCAGACACACGCAGCACCCTCAGACACACACGCAGCACCCAGACACACACATAGCACCCCCAGACACACACAGCACCCAGACACACACAGCACCCTCGGACACACACACACAGCACCCTCGGACACACACACACAGCACCCTCAGACACACACTGCTCACTCAGACAGACACTGCTCCCTCAGAGAGACAGCACCCTCACCCACACAGCACCCACACACAGCACACTCCCACACATATACAGCACACACACACATATATATATAATAAATAAAATAACCCTCAGTGAGTTAAAAGACAAAAAAATTTAGAAACCTAGAATGTGACGGCAGATAAAAACACCTTCACACACAGCACCCCTCTTACACACACACACACACACACTGCACCCTTCACACACACACACTGCGCCCCTCACACATACAATACGTCCAAATATAAATATATATATATACACACTACAGCACCCCTCACACGGCACCACTACACACATTACACATTACACATTACACACAATTTGCCTGCATTTGTGGGAGGTGCTAGTTTGCTACCCCTAGCCTACTTAACACCCTCCTTTACCTTGCTCCTTATCGTTCGAGGTCAGCGTTGAATGAGGATCCACTTCCGGGTTCTCTCAGACGCCATCTTGGTTTCAGTATCCACGAGTGTAACGGACCGTTTTGCACAAAAGGGGAAAAAAACGTTTAGGCGATCGGCCCCCTTTCCAGAGATACAGGCACAGCTACTGCAGAACACCAAACTGGATACAAAATAACACTCCAACTCCCGAACTGGAACCTCCCAAATAGCTGCTAGCAGACGAACAGGAAAAGCAGACAAGCAGCTTACACTCCTGGCAATCAGTCTCTAACAGCATACAGTGAATCCCCCCAAGAACGAGACAAGGCTCTGTGTTGAGGGTCAAGCAGTGGTCTGAGGTGCTGGCACACCCAGCCTGGTTTTTATTACAGTCTTGTAAATACAGGACCGCCCACAGGGAGGTATAAAACAACCAATCACATCACAGTTACATCCCACATATTCCCTCCCCTTATCCTGAGAGGAAACTCAATTACACATACAGTTAAAACATACTTTCTACCCAACTTTCATAACTCTAAAACCATACATCACATTCACATAAAATTACATATTTGGAATCAATCCATTCGGGGGAGCAACATATTAAAAAATGGCACAAATCAGACAAGGGGTTCAAAAGTTAGTAAAAAGTCCTTTGTGACTAAATGAAGCATGGCTTTCTGGCCCAAACCAGTTTCAGAGTCTCCTATCCTGGAGAGTAATTCAATTATCTCCCAGGACAGACACAAGACTCCATTAAGCACATGGTTGCAAAAAGACACAAAACACTTTAAAATACATAAAGTCACATTTATTACATAACACACAGACATTTAACATATCCCCAGATAGCTCAGGTCCGAGCGCACATTATTAAGCGAATGGCGCTCAGACCACACGAATACAGTTTAATCGCCATGGAGCCAAAGTCTTTACAGTCAGTTTCATACGAATGGGCTCCATGGGATTCCTATCTGGGGTATAACACATTCAAACAAATCTACCGAACCCCAAGCAAGAAAAGCACGAATGAAGCTTTTCTGCAGGTAAAAAAGATGTCTTTTAACAGGGGGCCATAGTCCAAAGGCAGCAGGCGGGCAACCAGGCTTCTCCAATGCAATGTGGCGAGATTGGTCTCGTCACAACGAGGTTTCACCACGTTAAGGTGTGTCCAGGAATCCTGTTCAGGCCTTTCCGCCCGTCCAGCTTCTTCTGACTCCGGTCTCCGTCGTAGATCGCGTCCCAGGGACTCCTAAACCGTAAGTCAGACCTTCCTGTCACGCCAGGACCGGTTCCCACGGCGTACGGTACAGCACGGGTCC